CAAACAGTGTGTGCGTGATGTTTCGGTCCTAAATCATATGGCATCGAGTGATCACTCGATGATCATGGCCAGCCTTGAGCTATACTATGCAAGACTGAGTTCGATGGTCCTACTAGAGCAGCTAGTCAAGTGAACTGGTCGCTACCACAGAATTCATCGGTTGAAGCCCGTTGGTCTGTTAGAAAAAAGGGTGTGCGCGCGATTTGCACCCTTCAAGTATCGAAAAGCTGGACCTGCAAAGCCACGCTGGTTCGACAAAGAGTATGGCCAGTTGGCTAGACGGTGACACGTATTGCGGAATAAATTCCTCTTGTCTGGATCTGTCGATCACGAGCTGTACCAAAGGCAACGGGACCTATGCAAAAGCGCGAAAGTGCAGAAGAATCGACAATCCAAAGAGGAGCTTGCAATCGCAGCAAAAGCGGCCCCCAAGCGTATTTTCGCTTACGTGAAGCGGCGCCTGAGACCGGCAGGCGACGTAGCAATGTTAGATGGCTCTGAAGGTCAGCCTCTGATATCCAGTGCTGAACGTGTGTCCGAGTTGGCGGGTTCGAATCCGCGTAGGGATGGGCGTCCTCGCGGTATACTCAGGCCGCGTGCGACCGGTGGTCGCACGGCAGCGAAGCGTCGTTACGGCGTACAGCTGACTCATTATGATTATGATTATTATTATTATAGACAAAGTGAACCATGAGGTCCTCCTAAAGCGGATGAAGTGCGGTGTTGGTGGCTCACTACAGAAATGAATCAGTGACTTCCTTAAAGGGCGGAAATGGAGGGGACAAGTGAATGACCACTTAACGGACTGGTGTCCCACCACTGGTGGAGTACCCCAAGGTTCAGCACTGGGGCCCCTCTTAATCATGATCCAAATCAACAAAGTGCCTCAGCTTCTTCGGTCGCCTTGTGCCATGTTCGCAGACGACCTGAAGCTCTGGAGTATAATTGATGCTCCCGACGACTGTGACGTACTTCAGCATGACCTCGACATCCTGTCCAGGTGACCTGCAAACATCGAGCTGCCGGTCAACCTAGTCAAAGCGTTATATATGAGCCTGGGGAAGAATGTTGATGGGTGTACGTACACACTGGTCCGCCAACAGCTACATCCCACACCTTCCGTAGAGGATTTTGGCGTACCCTTCAAGTTGTGATTTGAAGTCAGCAGACAACACGAAGAAGCTATATAGAAACGGACTACGCATGTTTTGGGCTTTCAAACGAAGCATATGCTTCTTCTCTTCCATCATAAGACCGATGCTCGAGAACGGATCACTCGCCCTTTGTCCGGTCACCCGTGGTGAGGTGCAAAGATTGAAATGTGTTCAACATGTGGCTATCAGACTGATCTCCAGTTTACGGGGTATGTCGTAAGAAGACCGGTGCAGACGACTAGGAACGTACACCCTGTTGTATCGTCGGTTTAGAGTTGGCCTCATTATGACACATCGAATATGGCATCTGGGTCACTACCCATGCTGAGGCCACTGTTTCAAGTATGCGAAGCAAGAAGCACTCGCGAGCAACGGTAAAAGCTAGTGGTACCGGACCTAAAGCGGATAGTTCACCTTCGATGCTTCAAGCACCGAGTGGTGAAATATAGGGACAGTTAACCTGCGAAAATTATTGAGGCGAAATCGGTGTCGGAATTCAAGCAGCCCTACACACCCATTGTGCAGAGTACAGATTTAGGAGGCGCATCGCACCGGAATAGCATATGGCGAAGCTGTAACATGAAGCTGACGCTCAGGAAGCAGTGACGTGACTCTGAGCATGTGCCCGACCTAATTACGATGGAGCAACACAGACGCATGTCTACTAGCTCTCTATTTTCAGTATTCAGCAAAAGAGATAATAATAGCTTGGAGGTAGCCGGAATAAGACAGATTCCTATGCGTCTGACGCATTGAGAGCGATCGCCTTCTTGGAAATATGTGTAGTAAATGATTCATCCCAAGGTAATGGTGGATTTTCTTACGGCCAGAATTTGAGGTCAGCCGGATGATTGCTGAGCTGCCTTACTTGAGCGGCCCCGGGGGACTCTGTCTGATATGACAGTCTTAGATCGCTTCAGGTGTCGAATCTCGAAAGCGACTTACGCTGGGCTGGGCGAATTTAGTGAGACAACCTAGGGTGGGCAACTGCGTGTGTTGCACCAAGGGATGGATAGTGTGGGCCAGTTAAACAGCAAATGGAAGTACTCGACCCGGTGGCTCAAACGCCTCGGCAAACCGCAGACACAACCGGATCGCTAATAACCTCGTTGGCACCAGGTTTTCTGAAGCCGGTGGACCGAATGAGTTGGAAGAGCTTACGAGCATTGCCGGAGATGCAGAGGGCATGATGAGACCCGCAACCTTCGTGATCATTAAGCAGGTGTTATCTGAGCTGCCAATTGACAAAGCGATACTGTTTATTGCGATGTGATTCTGTCGAAATATTTCTAAGACAAATCGAGATGGACGGAGTTAAACAACTGAAAAGGGGAGCGTTCATTTTTGCTGTAGTACTGTAGCCTGTAGTAGCGCACAACGAAACAAAAAATGGCATGTGTTTTCAGACAGCACATATGTACTCGAAAGGAAATGCGAATTCGAACTGCACACACGAGGGGAGCATTCGATTGGATATCCTAAGGCATACCAATTAGGGAGAAGCCGATACCGTGATCATATCGAGACACTGAGGGGACATTAGCAGATGTGCGGGGAATATCGGGTCTTTACTACAGTTAGAGCCAGTTGAGCTTAGATGAGCGACAAGGATTCCATACTGCATTGAGTTTTGAACACAAGCACATATTGGCATCGAGAGTCACAAGTAAGAGTTAGAGTCGCCCACTGATCGATAAAGTATGAGCTGCACACGCTGTAATGATTGAATTTGGAGTGGCAGCATTATGTTAGAAGACTACCTAGATCCCCATAAGCATAACAATTATGTCAGAGATGGTTACTAGCTGATCAACCGACGAAGTCGAGTAGCGGAAGAGGAAGGTGGAGACTGAGTCAACTGGGTAAATGAATCCGCATATTGCCCGTTGCTGTAAAGGAGAACTGCTGGTGTGTTTTCCCGCATGGACGTTTGCTACGGGGACATCACGCAAAACCTTGGACTCAATGGCGAGATTCACAAAGCAGTGGGGAGGGCGTTCATTGAGCGAGGCGAAGTGAAGTGTAAGCGGATATGCTTGTAGCCGATCACTTACCACCCTAGTAGGTTTGAAATAAGGTTGCAAGTCCATCAATCGTATCATGCGAAAACACTGAAATCACAGTTAACCGTGAGCATTCGTGCACTACTGCACATACGGGCCAGGTGTTTTGTGCCTCGAGTTAGGGGGTAACCAACAACATAAACAGTTTTGCACTCCCATAAGCAGAAAGAGCGCGCGGTGCCGGTGTTCTAGGTCAATAAAACGGCGCTTACTATTTTCAAAATCAAAAGATTTAGCTTAAAAGCTCGACCAAAACGCGTACAGGATACGGCAATGGATCATAAAATGTGCTTCAGACTTCCGAGCAGGAGAGTCGGGAGACAGAGATAATCTCCTAGTGACCTGGAGATTGCCCCGCTTAATTGTGTGAATCAATCTAAAATAGTATAAAATCAGTTTTCTTACGTATTAGGGAAGTGGACGGTTCGCTTGTTCGGATGGTGCTCATGCTTGTTTAATTCACACACACACACACACACACACGCACGGATTTTCGCTGAGCCTTAGAATGTAGCAAGTATTTTTAATAAACTTTGTCCTAGCTTATTTCTGTGTGTTCTTCCGCACACTTGTGGTTGGTCGTTCGTCTGCATTTCCGGTAGATAGCGCCCGACTGATGCGCTGCAATCTTACATCCAACCACTGACTAGCCTAGTAGGAGGGTATCTTATAGCATCCGACGGTACAATCGAATGTAACTCATTGGATCAGAAACAGATAAACCGATGCAATACACATCACATCTTGATAGTTCGGCAGCCTTCGCAGCGGTACCATGAAGTGATCTGAGTGTGTCAGTGGTACGCTTTTTAACTCGACCTCAAGGGAAACTGACCAGACCGTGAAAAAGGAAGAGTCACACAGAGACCAGATGGTTGGACACATTCGGTAACTTAAGTGGCCATGCAGAGAGAATCACCGAATTCGCGACTAGTGGTCTAAGAAAGTCAGCGAAAAAATACATGAGTTAGATAACACTTCGGGGTAATGTTGTAACCACAGTTCATGTTCGTAGACGACGTCTAAGCCGGAAAGTACTAACTGTCACACAGTGACCTGTGCTCGGAAATGGGGCACAGAGTAGCCAACAGTTCGTAGTGTGACCATAAAGTGGATGACCAGTGTCCAGGGCGGATAGGGAAACGGTCACTGTGTGACAAGTTAGTGCACAGTGATGAAACGGTTACCTGGAAAAACAAGTCATCATCGGCTAGTCACCAAATGACTGAGTACGACTGCTCGTGCCGATGTAAATGGCATGCCTATTACATAAACAAGGCTTATTACAAGAGGTGTAGAATAGTTACTGTGGATTTCTCCAAGTTGCTTCAGAAAATTAGTCATAACCAGGTCAAGCCGCATGCCTTACCATGAGGGCTGATAACGCGAATGAACGATGGGTCGCGCGATCGATATGGGATAGGTGCGTTGCCCCGCGCAGTTCTAGTACCAAAAGTCTACTGCCCGTTTGAAACCAGTATGACAAAGCTGTTGCTGAGTATGCTCACAAAACACAAAAAATCGACGTGATCTGGTATTCCCACGGAACCGCGTATCCTAATATGTATAGCAAGCAAACCTTGAAAACCTTAACAAGCGACGTAGATGATAGCATCCCGTTTCAGAGTTATATGAACGTTAGAGCGTGTGACACCAAGGAACACCTTAGATTCAGATCACAAGCACTGCTAGAGCCGAAAGTGGGTCATAGCGGCAGGTTCGCGCATTAAATTAAACTGAAAGTACGAAACAAAACAAAACAAAACGATACAACGGTACTAACCTTGCACAAGCTGTCGGAAGAGCATAGGCAAAAGCCAGGTTGTACATCATCCTCTTCCACATTTTTTAAACGTAGACGGCAATTCTCCCCAGCCGCAGCACTGAGTAATTCTGTATCACCCATAAAAACCTGTGGTTAGGTAAAATCGCAGTGACCAAAGAAAGGACAAAGTAACATCAATGAAACTTTGGCATGAACACAGTTAGTTTCTTTGTGGGTAAAAGATGCAATGTGATTAAGCAAAAATGTTAGTATTGTGGTGCGGAAGATTCGGTCAACAATACATGGTCACCAAACAGCTGACTATCATGTGAAAATAAAGTGAGAACTACGAGACAGCTTCTATGCGGTTTCCACAGCCACCACATTATAAACAACGATACCAATGATAGAGACCCTAAAGTAGGGATGTCCAAACTTTTGCAAGGATAGCCACATTCTGAGGTAAAAATAAGTCGAGCCACATTCAGTCTGACATTAAGGTCATAACAAAATTACACGTACGAAAAAAGTCCAAGTCTGAACTTATTATTTCGTGATGAGGCCGCGGGTGCTTAAATGTTAACGCGGGCCGCATTTGGACATACCTGCTCTAAACTAATCGTTCATGGCTCATCCTGCATCATCTGAGTAGGAAAAGGTCCGGGAGCAGAGGGCCAGCTGAACTGATCTTGAAAGTGTTCCGCCCAACGAGCCATACGCCTTATTGTGAATAAACGCAAGCGCGCTGTCTCTGATTGTCTCACTGACGCCTAGTTTCCTGGGACCAGTGGTACGGATAAACTAGAAGAGCTTGCGATAGATGCCTACTGCTCCCACCTCCTCTATTTCTTGAGCCCGACTAGTCCACCAGACTTCCTTGTCAGCGCGCAGACTCGGCTTTTATCTACGCTTAATAGCCCGTCTGGTCACATTGTGTTCAGCCAGCCGGAAGGTTTCTTCTGGATTCCAAATGGCTCATAGAACTCTCGGATATCCAGTGACTGGTGCGGTGACGATGGATAGTGCCAAAAGCAAGTGTTCCTGCGTCGTGCATGGCGGCCGAGACCCTATTCCACTGAAGTTCAGTGTCATTAGGAAAAGAGCGCGAAAGTTCGGTACGCGGGGCATCCCGGTTGGCTTGTCTGACCGGAGTCTGACAAATTCTCACTTGCTAATCGGGGGAGATGCTTGGTGCACCTCCCGGTAAAGTTCGTGGAGAAACGGCACCGTACCAAGGCATGATCAGAGTCGACGCAGGTATTCCAGTACGAGCGGCAATCCAGGATGGAACCACGCCACCTGTAACTTATGGCTATGTGGTCAAGTTGGGTCCATGTTTAGCCAGCTACAGGAGGACGACAAGTGGTACTTCGGCGCCCACTGTGTCCAAAAGCAGTGCTACTAATTTACGGCTGGTGCTCGAACATAGGTGTAACAGACGATTACAGTTGTCCGTCCGTTCGGAGTTAAGTTCACTTAGCAGGGCTTCAGAAGAGTTCGGAGAAGCTACTTGCGCATTCATATGATGATGATGATGATGTGTCAGCTGTACGCCGTAACGGCGCTTCACTGCCGCGCGACCACCACCAGTCGCGCGCGGGCTGAGTATACCGCGAGGACGCCCACCCCTACGCGGATTCGAACCGGTGACCTTATGGTTGCAAACCAAACGTGCAAACCACTCGGCCACCGGCCGACTGCGCATTCATATCCCCTGCTACAACAACGAGATGTGAAATGGGAACATTGCGAAGCAATGTGGTCAGTTAGTGGCAAAAGGTATCTTTGGCAGATTCAGAACAGCAGTCGGTGGAGACCTAACGGGGAAACCACAAACAAACAGCGTCTAGTAGTACTTCGCGAGCCAACTTTAGTTGACGTCATTATACGGACTGTACACCAACAGTTGCTCACCGGAATCTAATCAAAAACGATGGCTCGGCCTTGAAGCTGAGAACGATGCATACCACAGTTTGACAGGTGATTTCCGCACCAGCGTTTTCGGATGCTTGCAACCAACAGCGAGAGGAAAAGCCGGGAGCAGTTAATTCAACAATACAGTGAGAGTCAATGACACTAGTTTCAAATACGCAACACACTTCAATACCCAGTGTGTAAAGCGTGAAGGTGAGTGCAGCCTGTTGACCTATATCTCTCAAAGTGCCAACGTTAAACGCAGCCAGGTAAACCGGACAGCGTGGTCTTAGAAGGGACGATTGCCGATAGGCGTCCAGTGAGTGGTGTGGAAAGATATATATATATATATATATATATATATATATATATATATACATATATGTACAACACTACACCAACTACATTACAATTGGCTGAGTGCCACAAGACATAAGAGAAAAAATAGATTGATTAGTGATTGGAAGCAGCAATTAGAGGTTTCTCTGTGTAGTTGCATCTAATGTCACTCAGGGACAAAGACCCGTTATGTTGTGGTGCGCTCGATATATTTTATGTCGGCAAAGTGTTAGTCCAGGAATTCCTTAAACACCGACACCGACTTTGCCTCGAAGGCGTGCTGCGGCAGGTTGTTCCATACATTCACCACTATGCGTTCAAAACAGAGTTGGTGAGCGACCCGCTTCAAATCCGGTACAACAAGCTTGTAACGGTGTCCTCGTGTGCTGCTTGGTGTGCAAAGATGAAGCAGCGGACTTGACATGGGGTATTCGTCCAGATGTAATATCCGGTGCGTCATGATAAGTTCAACCCTCAGTCGACGATAAGTTAGGGTGAACAGCTTTAGTTTCTTACACCGGTCTTCGGACGGCACATCTCGTAAGTTGGGAATCAGCCTGGTGGCTGCATACTGCACTCGCTCAATATTTTCTACCTCACCCCAGGTGATAGGACAATACGTGGGAGAGCCATACTCTAGCATTAATCGTATTATTGAGGCGGGTGGCAATCTCTTTGGACCGTGCTGAAGCTGCGCCTGAGCGATCAAAGCATACGAAGGCTGTTTTGGTAAAACCTATTCGTGTCATCCATGGATTTTAGATCGTAAGGTGAGAGTACACCGAGATCTCGCATGAAGGACGCGGGATGCAACGGCTGACCGGCCACCGTGTACCTTCGACTGTGCTCACACTTACTCAGCCTCATGAATTGTGACTTGACCGGGTTGATCGGAAGGTTGACCTCTACAGACCACGTGGAGAGGCGGTCGAGGTCCTGCTGAAGTAGGTCACAATCATTGGGTGTGCGGATTACTCTCCACACCTTGAAGTCATCTGCAAACAATGCACAAGGTGATTAGAGTAGCTGAGGCACGTCGTTTACATGGATCAGAAGCAAAACCGGCCCCCGTACAGTGCCTGGGGGCACGCCACTGCTCGATGGATACCAGTCGGTCAGATGGTCGTCCACCTGGACCCACTACTTTTGATCCACAAGGAAATTCTTGAGCCATCGATGTAGCGAGCCGCCAACACTGAGCACCCTCAGCCCGTCGAGGAGCAATGCATGATTTACCTTGTCAAAAGCCTTACTGAAGTCAATGTAAATGATGTCGACTGATGTGCCTTGGTTCAGCGCTTGTAATTATTCGTGCCTCGTTAACAGTAGGTTGGTGATGCACGAGCGACCTTTCACGAAGCCATACTGTGCGGGTGTCAAGAGGCTTTTCGACTCGAGAAGCTGCAGAAGACTCTTCTGACAAAACAGCGGTTAGGCAGATCGGCCGGTAGTTATCTACTTTGCTTGGGTTACCACCTTTCGGTATTGGCTTTACGACTGAGCATTTCCAGTCACCCGGTAATAGTCCAGTGGATAGTGACCTGTTGAACAGCTCAGTTACGGAAGGCGAGATGATGGTTGATAGGGACTTGAGGATCAGTGGGTGGATTCCATCTGGCCCGTCAAGACTTGCCAGAAGCTTGCGTACATCTTCAATGCTGCAAGCCAGGCTGTCTAGTTCAGCGGAAGCGGTACTCGTCGAACTGGTGACAGACACCTGGTCACTTGCAAATACAGAAGCGAAGTGCGCTGCCAATGCAGACGCACGATTTGTGCTCGAGGTTAGGGACTGTCTATCTGAGTCTTCCAACACTGGCACATTGCCTGCAGGCCTCAGGCGCCGCTTCACGTAGGCGGAGATCCTCTTGGGAACAGTTTTTACAGCGGTTACAAATTGCTCTTCGAAACTTCTGCACCTTTTGTTTTTGCGTTGTTGCAGAGATTTCGCTGTACCTTGTACGCCTTGTAGTCCACATCAGAGCCAGATAACACGAATTTGTTCCATAGTCTGCATCGTCGTCGGGCCAGTTTGCTGTACTCCTTGTCGAACCAATGTGGTTTGACTGGTCCAACTTTCCAGGTACTTGAGGGGTACAAATCGGACACACAACGATTTCACTCCCTCTAATGATAGTCCAACAGCTTTCAACAGATGAATCTTCTGGTAACGACCAGTCCATCTGGCTCGCTATTCGAATGAAGCGATTAAAGTCCGCCTTGCAATAGTTGAAGGCTGGCTCCAGCGGGGGAGTATACAGTGGCGGCATTTCCAAGCTGGCTATGATCATCGAGTGGCCACTCGCTCCCAGGGGCTCCAAAATCTGAATGTCATGCACACGTTACTCAGAACTGGTCAAAAACAGGTCTAAGCACGATGGAGTCGCGCGCGCAGTTATGCGCGTCGGTTGGTTGATGTGCTGTGTGGCCCCGGTTTCAAATATCAACTTCGTAAACTTCCTCTCGACTTCACAATGGCCGGGGAGAAGTTCAGCATCAGGCCATTGTATTCAGGGTAAGCTGAGATTGCTCATGAGTAGGAACAGCTGACGACTCATGTAGCAGCTGCTCAGTGGACTGCGATATACCACGCCTACGAGCATCTCGCAGCATCTTAGGTGAATCAAATACCATAACTGCTCAGATTGATCATCAGCGGTTCAGTGGGAAGACTTAATGTAAAGCAGAACGCCACCGCGATCATTTGATGGTCTATCACAGCGGCAGCACGAGTAGTCGCTGATTTCTACTTCTTGGACGGTTAGACCGGAGTTTAACAATGTCTCAGCAAGGCCGCTGCGAAGTTACAAAGTAGTACAACTCATCGCATTTGTTCATCAGACTGCAAATGTTAGTAAAGGCTATGCGCAGGCCGTGGTGGGAAAGGGGAA